GTCCCCCTGCCCCATAGTATCATGGTCACGTTGTCAGAAAAATGCCTGTTTTTGCTGATTTGTTGTTTCCTTTTGTTTCATTTTTAGAGGTAAAATGTTCTTTTCTGTGAAATATTCCAGTCATGGGATTTTGTCTAATGTACTGTTTAATATAATGCTGTCAGTTTAATTTTTTATTTTTTTTAAGTAGAATTTTTTTTAGGTTTATTAGTGTGCAAAGATATTCAGACATATGTAATTGTCAGTGCCATTTTACTATGTATAGTTAATAGACATATTTTCCTCTTTTAAATCAATGATGAATATTTACCAGTAATACTATATTAGATATGACAAAAATCAAATTAAGTTTTAGGACCTATATTGATTTTTAACTCTGTTTTTTTTGAAGGATTGGAAGAGGAGCAGTGAGATACTGTTTTAAATAGATGAGGGAAAACATAAGCTATGTATTCTGCACTTGTTCCTTAGAGACAGAACAAACTTGTACTCATTTATGTCATGGTTTCCATTTGCCAGTATCTTAATTTTTTTCTCCCTCTTTAGGCCTTTGTACTTGCTATTTCTGGTACCTTTGTTCATTCATTGTCTCTTTTCAGTGATATTTCTTTCTCAATCCTCAGAATTTGAGCTTCCATGTTACTTCATCTGTGAAGCTTTTTAATGACCATACCATTTTAGTAGTTCCTTCATTATTTACTATAAAATACCATACTGTTCATTTTTTCTCAGCATGTATTTTAGCCTTTAATTATTATTATTTATTTCTTTACTTGTTTATTATCTGTCTCTTCACTAAAACATAAAGTTATGAGAGCAGAAACCTTGATGATTACCTTACTTCTTGCTATTTATAATAAGGTATTCAATAAATAGTTGTTGAGTGAATTAGAGTGCATTAAGTGTTATTTGACCACAAAAGCTTTGAAAGTTTATGACTATTTTCATTTTAAATATTCTAAAAATATTTTCTACAGCTTTCTGAGCACAATGTAATCTTACAGCAGTCATTACCATGTACCATGCTGTGTAATAAAATGACGCCTTCAAGATCTTTCAGGAGCCCTGGTGGCATAGTGATTTAAAGCACTCATCTGCAAAGCAAAAAGTGGCTTTGAACTCACCAGCCACTCCACTGGAGAGAGATGTGGCAGTCTGTTTCCATAAAGGTTTACAGGCTTGGAGACCCTATGGGGCAGTTTGACTCTGTTCTATAGGGTTACTATCAGTCAGAACCTACTCGGTGGTAGTAGGTATGATTTAAGATTTTTACTTAAGATTTTTACTTTATGAATGACCTCAGATTATGTTGTTGTTGCCGTTAGGTGCCGTCAAGTCATCTCCAACTCATAGCGACTCCATGCACAGCAGAACGAAACATGGCCCAGTCCTGTGCCAGCCTCACAATCTTGCTATACCTGCGACGGTTGTGGCATCCACTATATCAATCCATCTCATTGAGCAACTTCCCCTTTTACATTGACCCTCCAATTTACCATTTGTCTGATGCAAAATGGCCAAAACCAGTTAATTTTAGTTCACTAATGCCTAGGATGGGAGCTCTGGTAGCGTAGTGCCTAAGACACTTGACTGTTACCAAAAGGTTGGTGGTTAAAGCCCACCAGCCACTCCTTGGAAGGAAGATGGGACAATCTACTTCTTTATTGATCCTGCCTCGACAACCCAAAGAGGGGTCACTATGAGTCGGGTCCGACTCGACGGCACATAACAACAACAATGCCTAGGATATCGATCTTTATGCATTCCATTTCATTTTTGACAACTTCCAGTTTTCCTAAATTCATACTTTGTACATTCCATGTTCTGATTACTAATGGATGTTTGCAGCTGTTTCTACTCATTGAGTTGTGCCATATCATCCAGTAGAGGTCCTGAAAGCTTTATTCCATCCGTATCTGTAAGGTCATCTCTCCTCTGAGTAGTCAGCTTTTCCCAGTCACATTTTGAGTGCCTTCCAACCTGATGGGCTCATCTTCTGGCACTGTATTACACAATGTTTCAGGGCTATTTGTAAAGTTATGCAGTAATATATCAGACAGTGTTTCCCTTCTATTCATAAGGTTTTTACTGGCCAGTTGTTTGAGAAGTGGATGGCCTCTCCCTTCTTCTATGTCTGTCTTAGCCTGGAAGCTCCACTGAAACCTGTCTACCATTGGTAACCTTGCTGGCAGTTTGCAACACCGATATTATAGCCTCTAGCCTCACAGCAACACGTGAGCCACCACAGGACAACAAACTGACAGACATGTTCATCTCCCTTAGTTGTTCAAACTGCTCTGTGACTGCCTACCTCAGACCTCAGCTTCAAAACAGAGCTGTCCTCAAGCAAAAGCAGCCCTGAGCCCCACTCCTGCCTACCTCGGGCCATGGCCTCACTGGGGAAGAGCTGCCTCCTCATTGTAGAGATGACCTTAAAGACATGGATAGAGTAAAGCTTTTGGGACCTTCACTGATTGATGTGGCACAACTCAAAATGTGTAGAAACAGATGCAAGAATAACCTGGCCAGCTGTCGTAGTTAAGTATGTGTGTCAACTTGGCTGGGCAGCTGGATGTAGTATTCCTCATGATGAGACTGGTAATCAACTCCATGGTGCATTCTACTGTGAGCAGCTGAGTAGCTGCCTTAGGGATGTGGTCTGTTTTCTGTATATAAGGAGATGTCTTGGGGAATTGTCTCTAGCTTAGGCACACTTGAACCCTGCATGTAGCCGAGTCATTGTTCAGGAGCCTGCTGTGCTCTGCTGATCCTGGGACTTTGGATGGACTTGAATTAATGGCCTGCCATGTGGCTTAGTAACATTGGGACTATGCCTTTTTACTTGTCAACCTTGGGCTTGTCAGTCCCAGCAGCCAGCATCTGTCTGAGTGAAGAAATGCCTCTAGATCCAGTGGGCCAGGAGCAGGAAGCAGAGCTGAAGCCCAAGGTTGAGGGATTTTCACCCAGCCTCTAGAACCTGGCACTTTGAACTTGGACTTAAAGCCTCCAAACTGTAAGAGAATAAACACCTGTTTGCTCAAGCATCCCATTTGTGGTATATTCCTATCAGAGTGGCACTAGGTAACCAGAACACCAAACAACTGAAAGAGAACTATATTTGTACCCACTCCAAAGAAAAGGGATCCAACCAAAACCAAAGCTAAACTCACTGCCATCGAGTTGGGTTTGACTCATAGTGACCCCTCCTTGGGTTTCTGAGGTGGTATTACTACAGAAGTAGTTTGCCCAGCCTTCCTTCTGAGGAGTGTCTGGTGAGTTTGAATCACCAACCTTCTGGATAGTAGTCCAATGCCTTAGGTACTATGCTACTAGAGCTCCAGTGATCCAACAGAATGTGAAAATTACTGAGCAATATCATTAATATCACATGTAAGTAAAATTTTACTGAAGACAGTTCAAAAATGGTTACAGGTATATATTGACGGGAACTTCCAGAAATTCAAGCTGGATTCAGAGGAACACATGGAATAAGGGATATCATTATGATATCACTTGGATCTTTGCTGAAAGCAAAAAATACCAGAAAGATGTTTACCTGTGTTTTATTGACTGTACCAAGATAATCAACTGTGTGGGTTTTAACAAATTACAGTTAATATTGCAAAGAATGTAATAATTCTAGAATACATTGTTGTGCTTATGAGGAACCTGTACATAGACCAAGAAGCTGTTCAAACAGTATAAGGTGATATACTAAATGGTTTAAAATCAGGAAAGGTATGCATCAGGGTTGTATCCTTTCACCATACTTACTCAATCTGTGTGTTGAGCAAATAATCTGAGAAGTTGGACTATATGAAGAAGGGATTCTGCATCAGGATTGGAAGAAGATTCATTAATAACCTGAAATATGCAGATGGAATAACCTTGCACATTGAAAGTGAAGATGACTCGAGGCACTTACTGATGCAGATGAAAGACTACAGTCTTCAATATGGATTACACTTCAACATAAAGAAAACAAAAATTCTCACAACTAGAACAGTAAGCAGCATTGTGATAAATAGGGAAAAGATTGAAGATGTCAAGGATTTTGTATTCATTGGTTCTACAGTCAACACCCGTGGAAACAGCAGTCAAGAAATCAGACGTCATATTGCACTGGGCAAATCTGCTGCAAGAAACCTCTTTAAAGTGTTTAGAAGCATAGATTTCATTTTGAAGATTAAGGTGAGCTTAACCCAAACGATGGTATTTTCACTTGCCTCATATGCATGTGAAAGCTGGACAGTGAATAAAGAATACCCAAGAGTTGATACCTTTGGATTTTGGTGTCGGCAAAAAATATTGAAAATACAGTGGACTGCCAGAAGAATGAACTAATCTATTCTGGAAGAAGTGCAGCCAGAATGCTCCCTGGTAGTGAGAATGGCCAGACTTGGTCTCACCTACTTTGGTCATGTTATCAGAAGGTACCATTTCCTGGAGAAGGATATCATGCTTGGTAAAGGAGAGGGTTGTCAAAAAGGGGAAGACCCTCAACAAGATGGATTGACACAGTGGTTGCAACAATGGACTCAAGTATAGCAAGGATTGTGAGCATGGCGCAAGACCAGACAGTGTTTCATTCTGTTGTACGTAGGGTTGCTTTGAGTCAGTGCCAACTAGATGGCACCTAACAATAACAACAGCAGGCTTATACAGACTCTGTTGCAAATACCTGCCTCTACTTTTATGGCACAAAAGCCATAGGCTATACATAAATGAACCAGTTTGGCTGTTTTGCAGTAAAACTGTATTTATGAATGCTGTAATTTGAATTTAATGTGCTATGGAATAGTCTTCATCTCACTCTTTTTTTTAGCAACCTTTTAAAACTGAAAAACCATTCTTAGATTGGAGTTCATACAAGAATTGCCAGTGAGCTGAATTTGGGCCATAACTTGCTGATTCTTGCCCTAGGATTACCTGTTTTAATAACAGCTTGGCTAATGATTGAATACTTATATGTTTCTACTCTACCCCATTGTCTTTTTCAGGCAGGCTAATGAAGAATATCAAATACTGGCTAACTCCTGGCGCTATTCATCTGCTTTTTGTAACAAACTCTTCTTCAGTATGGTGGACTATGATGAGGGAACAGATGTTTTTCAACAGGTAAATGTGTACTATATTTTGGAAATGTATTTAACACTTTGTCATGCTTGATATATTTTTTTTTGTTTTGCTAGGTAAAAATACAATTATTTGAATAATAAATACAGTAAGTACTTATAATAAAGTCTCTGATACGATTAAAATAATTACAGCTAACCTTCACTTTACGATTGCTTGCACAATTGTACCATTAGTCAGTACAGAGAACACATTTTAACTTTTGCATTATTAAGGAAATTTTTTTTTTTCAGCAAGCAGAGAGAATTTACATTTCAAAATGTTATTTTAGTATTTAATTATATGCAAATTAGGTGGTATTTTGCAGAATTTAAGAAATTTTATATAAAATTGTCCTTAAGTTTTACTTAACCTATTTTTCTTCCCATGTGGTAGATACAGAGAATTTCACCAGTAAAGAATAAAAATATTTATTTAAAAGAGTTTGCTCTTACATAATCTTTTCTATAGAGTGATATATATACACTAAATTGGAGCATGGGTATCACTGCTGCTGCCATGGTTATGGCATCATCACTAACATTAAGTGCTTCTGTGACTGGCATTGTTTTAAACATTTCCATGTATTCTGTAATTTATCTTCACAACAATCCAATGACAAAAGAAAATGATGTTATCTTCATTTTACAGATGTTGTTGTTGTTGTTATGTGTGATTGAGACCGACCTGACTCATAGCGACCCCTCTTTGGGTTTCTGAGGCGGTATTACTACAGAAATAGATTACCCAACCTTCCTTCCAGCCAGGAGTGGCTGGTGGGTTTGAACCGCCAGCCTTCTGGTTAGCAGTCAAAGTGTCTTAGGCACTACGCTACCAGAGCTTCTATTAAGGAAATCAAAATATGGAGAGATATAGTTTCTTGTCAACCATTGAAAACTTAGTATAATATGAAGCTGGATTTTGAATCCAGATGTTGGGCACAATGAATTCTAGATCTTAACCATTCTGTTACCTTGACCAATTTGTTTTACTTTTATCACTACTTTATCAGGACCTTTCAAATGTAAAAATGTTACTGTAGTACATGAATGTGATTGGTGTGAGTATCTTTCCTTATTTTATTTTCCTCACCTGTGAGCTTCTTTAGTACAATGATGTACCAGGTCATGCAAAAATATTTAATTCTAAGAAGAATCTAGTTCACTAATTGTGAATGAGGAGCTCTGGTAGCATAGTGCCTAAGGCATTTGACTGCTGACCAGAAGGTTGGCAGTTCAAATCCACCAGCCACGCCTCGGAAGGCAGGTTGGGCAATCTACTTCTGTAGAGATATCGCCTTGGAAACCCAAGGAGGGGTTGCTATGAGTCAGATCCGACTTGACTACACGTAACAACAAAAACAGTTGTAAATGGGCCATTAGTGTGTATATTTGCATATTTGCTTCCAGATTAATTGTTCATTCATGTTTACCAGTTTCTAGTTGAATAGGATAAATTCTTTCATTGTGCCTTCAATAATCTTTATCCTTGGCCTTTTCTATTACCAAAACCAAAAAACCAAACCCACTGCCATTAAGTCAGACCCGTCCTTGAGTTTCTGAGGAGGTATCACTACGGAAGTAGATTGCCCAGCCTTCTTTCCGAGGAGTGGCTGGAGCATTTGATTCTGGTTAGCAGTCAGATGCCTTAGGCACTATGCTACCAGAGCTCTTCCCATAAATTTATTTTGCCATTACAGAATGTTACTTTGTATTTATCCATTCAGCAAGTACAGTGATAATAATAATGATGATTCAGGAAGTATAATAATGATGATAATAATAAAGAAAAACACATAAACAAAAACATAATTTCAAATAACCTTATAGAGGAAAACTACAGGACTATAAGAACCAAAGAATTTATAGGTCCCTATAGAATCACAGGATAAGTAGCCTTAGGGATCATCTGGTGAAACTGGTATTCATTATATACTTGAATCCTTTGGACAAATAGTCATCCAGGTCCAAGTTGACTGCTAACTCAGAGGCTTCAAGCCCAGTTGTCTACTTTGTCCAGGCTACCCAAAAGAATAAATGAAGAAAATTGGTTGGGTTAGTTTCATTGTGGTATCTTTGTTGATATTGTTGTTGTTGTTTTGTGCTGTTAAGTCATCTCCAACTCACAGTGACCTTATGTACAACAGAACAAAACAACTCCTGGTCCTGTGACAACAGCATCACAATCCCTACTACATCTGAGCCCATCACTGCAGCCATCTTGTCAATCCAGCTTGTTGTGAGCCTTCCCCTTTTTTGTTGACCCTATACCTTACCAAGCATGACATACTTCTCTAGAGAATGGTCTATTCTGACAACATGACAAAACTAGATGAGACGAAGTCTGGCCATTCTCGTTTCCAAGGAGCAATCTGGCTACACTTCTTCCAGGACAGATTTGTTAATTCTTTCAACAGTCCACAGTACTTGCAGCATTCTTTGCCAACACCACAACTCAAAAGCATCAACTCTTCTTTGGTCTTCCTTATTCATTGTCCAGCTTTCACATGCATATGAG